GTGGTTGTTAATCTTTTAAGTAAGATGTACCCAATGCCAACAATTGAAACAAGTAAAAAATATTCCCGAGAAATGTTAGAAGGAATGAGTGGAAAGTTTGGACGAATGTTAAGAGATATGGAAGAAGATGAAACAAGTTTTAGTGAATATTGGAAAAAGGCTAAAAGAATTGATGGAGAAGTTGAGATAAAGAAGAAAGGAAAAATTGAAGAATTTGTAAATGGAATTCTTGAAAAAATTAGAAATAAAATTGTTCAAAAAGAAATGATTAAATACCTTATAAAAACTCATGAAGAAGAAATGAAAGAATATATGGAAATTATCAGTAAATATTGTAAAGAAGTGAATTATGGAAATATTATGAGAATTATTAAAATGTATGAAGATGATATTGAAAAAAAGGTAAATGTAATGAAAGAAGGATATTTGTATATTGAAAAAGAAGAAAAAAATGAAGAAATGAAAGAAGAAATTAAAGGATATTTAAAAATGAAAGAATATACTATTAGTAAAGGATGTATGAAATTGCTACATTTATTATGGAATGATCAAGAAGAAGGATATTATGATATGCTCTTTGAAGAAAATATAAAAAATGTATTAAAAAAGAAAGGTAAAAAAGCAATGAATGGATTATTAATTGTAACAAAAATTATTAAATATAAAAAGGAATATAACAGAAAAAAGGAAATCACTGAAATTAATGAACGAATTAAAAGTGAAATTATTCCAGGAATGATTATTGAAAAAGAACCTCCAGAACATATTATAATTGTTATGAAGTATATTGTTAAATATCTTCAAAGTAAAGGTAAAATTGTAGAATCTGATAATGAAGAAAGTGAGGAAAAGGAGATGATGAAATTCATTAAAGATTTTATAATTCATAAAACAGATAATGACACAATTGAATTCAGAAAAAATGAAGAAGAAGTTCGTGGATATTTGATTGGTGTTGTTTTAAAACTTGTTGAAATGAGAAAATATGATAGTTTAATTAACCAAAGAGAATTTTATTGCATTTGTGAAGAAATCTCAAAGAAAGAAACATTTTGGGGAGAGTACTTAGAAATTCTAAATAAATGTTTAAAACAACTTCCACTTAGATATTTCATCATTCCAACTATTCTTTCTAAAAACAATAAGGCTATAAGAATGAGCAAAATTGTTTTATTAAGAAGTATTCTTATCAGAAGAGAAATATATAAAAAGAATATTAAAGACATGACACAAGAAAAAACATGTATTGTCCTCCCAGAGTATTGTGTCCAACATCTTATTCACTTTTTAGGATATGGAGAGATGGTTGAAAATGGGGAATATGATGAAATTAGTAGAATGTTGATGTTTATGATAGAAAGTTTGGTTGAAGGAAATAATGAAGGAATTCCAATTATCCAAAATGAAATTAATTTAATTAAGTTATCTAACGATAATTTAAACAACAATTTAGGCATCACTGAAATTAACCAAGAAAGACTTAACGAAAAAATCCATGGAGTTGCTTTAATAGGGGGAATGGTTATAGATGAGGTGAGTAGAGGAAAAAAATATTCACCAAACCAAACCGTTGGGACAATATCAAAAATGCTTTTTGAGTTAAGAGAAAAGAACGAAAGTATAAACAGCATTTTACCATATGGCTATCACCTTCCTAAACGGGCAAATGCCATAATGACTGTAGGTGAGAAAAAAAAGAAGAAAGAAAACCAAGACATAGAAAAAGAAGTGAAACAAGTTAAAGAACAAAAGGAAAAAAAACCAAGAGCAAAAAACCAAAAAAAAGAAGTTAAAGAAATAAAAACTGTTAAAGAGAAATTTATCAAGCAAGAACAAAAGAAAATAAATTAAAGTTGAAAAGGAGTTTCATGGTTAATAAATTTTTTCTTAGTACGAGAACGATAATTAGCAAACCAAGTATTGAGTTGTTTGATTGAAATATTGCATTGATTACAAAGGGAATGTTTTTCAAGTTCAGAAGGATAAGGGTATTGGAGATGATTCATAAACCAATGTTTGAGAATAGATTTAGAGCGTTTGTCTAAAAAGTTTCTTGGAGAACGATAAGAATGGTTAGAAAGAGGAAGAAGAGAAGAAAGAGAAGAAGGGAGAGAAGGAGAAGAAGGGAAGATGAGAAGAGGAGGAAGAGGAATAGCATTTGAATTAAGAAAGTCTTTAAGATTGAGAATAAGAAGATATTTGAGATGGGAATAAATATTAAGAAAGATAGATTTAATAGAAAGGAGTTTAAAATGAAGTTCAATAGGAAGAATTGAAGGAAGAAGAGAAGAATTTAATTGAGAAGAATAATATTCAGCATATAAATTAAGAATTTCAACCAAAGAAGTAAAAGAAGAGATAATTTTATTAAAATTATCTAATATAACAGGAGAAGAAATAGATGGTAAAATTAAATTTAAAGAATTAATAATAACATCATCATCAATATTCATAGGAATAGTAATTAATTTAGTTGTTACTTCATTTAAAA